TATATATATATATATTTACAGGTCTGAATGATACCACATATATAGGGAGGAAGGTTACCTAACAGAGTGGGTTAGGGCTTGAGCTTTAGAGCAAATTACCCGTGTTCCAATCTTGGCTCTAACACTTAGCTCTACAATGTTGGACCAGTTATTCCACCCTGCAGAGCCCCAGGTTCTTTGTCTGTTAAGTGGGAATAATCAGAGCATCTCTCTTGAGACCTTGGTTATGAGAAATAAGTGAGATAATTCACCTGAATGTCAGTTCCCCAAGGGCAGGTTCTTTGTGTGGTTCCCCACTGTATCCCAGTGCCTAAAACAGCATTTTGTAACTCCCTCTAAAAGCTGTGATGGATGTGCACTGATCATTCACTCTCTCCTGCAAGTCACCTGTCACCAGTGTCAGCTCACACTCTCCAAGCAGTAGCCAACCACAGAGGTTTCATCAACAGGCACAGAGCACAGTGAGCTGTGGGTGCGACCCATGCCCTTGGCCTCGTTATGACTGCAGTCTAGTAAACTGATCCAAGGAGCCTCGGGCAAGACTGAGAAATAACCCATAATCCACTGAGAGTGTGCAGGGACTAAGGGCAAGGGGGTGATCGGACCAGATGAATGCCCCTGGCATCTACTCAGAAGCCCAACTGATTCTATCGGCAGAGGGTATCTTCAGAGGTTAGAATAAGACAAACTTTGCTTCCACAGAATTTTTCCAGCATTTGCCAAAGGACCATACAAAGGCACTGCCAGGAGTGCCAAAAGAATCAAAGATGAACAAAAATAAGAATAGCTTCATTGTCGGCACCTCCTGGTAGTAACCACTTAACATACATCACTAATCCTCAAAATTCTGTAAGATCCGCTCTCTGAATTTGAATTCTATAAGGGAAGTTAAAACATGCACCTAAAGCTTTCTTTTGTTATAACAAAAACACAAGGGATGGCTCAAGGAAGCTTTGTGGAAGAGGTGTTCTTGATTGATGGGCAGGATCTCAGCAGGGAGAAATAGGAAGTCTGCAGCATGCAGGTAAGGAAGGCAGGCCTATTGGCCTCAAACCAGCCCAGCAGGGAGAGAATGTGGACTGAGATTTTAGGAGATTAGGCTTAAAAGTACTAAGGACAGGATGAAGCAGGAAAAAAATAAAATTTATACTTTTCATAGAAGACAGTATCTGAAGGGCAGGGTTGCTTCTTGCAGGAAGTCACGTTGCATAGTCTGTTCTGTGCTCCAGCAGCACCCTGAAACCTGTCATTCACATACTCCATCACTCTGCACTGTCTCAGGCCCACAATTATCTGGAAAGAATAGGGCTCTGGAGTGTGGTAGACCTAGTTCCAAACCCAACTTCACCCTCTCTCGCTATGAGACCTCAGGCAAGATCTGTCCTAAATCTTAGTTTCCACATCTATGACATGGGTGAAATGATCTTGGATGAGACAATGTACTAAACTTGCAAGGTTTTGTGCCTGCCGTGTAAGAAGCATTCTAAAAATTTTAGGCGCCTTGCCCCTAGTTTTGAGCTTCTTGAGGTTAGGGGTTCTGTCATACAGAGCTCTGTATCTATCCCTAGGGATGGCACACGGTTGGCACACAACAAGTGCCGGTTGGCTAAATAAATGAATGATTTGCAGCTGCCATCCACACATGTCAAAATATGGGCTGTGCATTTGGTAGACCCAAAGAAAGACCAAAACTCTGATTTTCAGTTCAACTCGCCTTCCCAAGGCTTCCTCCCCATCTTCGTAGATGCATTCTTGTCAACTTCACAACTCATGAAGTTTTCCTTTCCCATCATGTCTCATTGAGACACAGACCCAAATCAAGGCAGATCCAATCCAAATAGTGCACCTTACACTGGAGATTGTAGGTCAGCACTTAAAGCACAGGGAAAAAAATAAAAATAAAAATAATGACTCCATGGAAATTACTGTATTTAAGATTTGTGAATTAGTATTGATAAAAAAGAGGATTTCCACCATATTATATGGAAGTCATCTGGTATAATGTAAAAGAAAATTTTACGAATAGCCATATCATTTAACACAGCAGCTTAATTTCTGGGTACTCATCTTGTTAGAAACAAAAGAGCTATAACACAAGAACATATTAAAAATTTGTTTATAGAAGCACTTTGTATAATGAGGGAGAAAAAAGTAAACAACCTAACTTTCTCCCTGAGTTGGAAAATATTTGGGGTTATTCATACTGTAGGACATCATACAATCAGTCAATATTATGAATGTTTCATATACATATGTATTTATGAATAATGTTGATAATACACATCAGGCAACTATTTATCTCAGCTACGGAGACAGCATATAAACTGCGAACTCTTCCATACATATATATGTACATTATTTCTTGTAATCTTTCCCATCTCAGTTAATGGAAATGACATCCCTACAGTGACACAGACCAAAGCCTTAGAGACATTCTTGACTCTTTTCTTTCTCTGCATTCTACCTCCAAACTGCCTAGAAATTCCACTGGCTATCCTTTCAAATTAAATGCAATCACTTCTCAGCAACTCCATGCTAGCACATGCTAAAAGCCACCATTATCTCTTCCCTATACTATTACAATAACATCTCCACCCTCCACCAACACAGCACCCAGAATTATCCTTTAAGTTCCTGAGGCAGATCACGTCACCCTCCACTGGCCCTCTGACGTTCTCCCATCGCACTCAGGGTGAAGCCCGCAAGCTGGCCTCCTTGGCCCTACACTGCCAGGTCCTGTTAAACTCCGATTCTGTCCACTCCTGTCCCCAGCCCACCTCCTTTCTCTCCCTGCCTCAGTCTGCTTCACCCACGCCAGACCCCTTGCTCCGTCCTGGGCACCCACGTGCACTCCTGCCACGGGCCCTTGCGCTGGTCTTGTTCTCTTCTTGGAGGGCTCCTCCCCCAGAAACCTCAAGCCTGCTCCCTTGCCACCTGCATTTTGTCCAAATGTCACCTTCTCCCTAAGGCCTTGCCCTGAATACTCCACTTAAAATAGCAATTCCCCCACCTCCAGGCATGTCCCAACCCTCTTCCCTGCGTTTTCTCCATAGTTCATGAATCGCCTTTGAACTTAACTATGTCGTCCGCCTATTTTGTTGCTGT